TAGGAGTAGCTTCAAACAAGATAGGAATTCAAAAATCATTTCTAAATAGCGATGTAGGGTTCTTTCAATGAGGATATTGTTTAGCATGCAGGACTACAGCAGCACCTAAGTGTGTCAAAAAGGAATTGATAGGAGGAAACACAGGGAAAATATATAAAGTGAAACAACTGATAATCGGCCAAACTACTAACTGCATTTATGTCCTTACTTGCCCTTGCAAGAAACAATATGTAAGGAAAACTACTAGACAGATACATATCTGCATTGAAGAACACCTATGGAACATCAAAGAAGGTTTTAAGGAGCATCACTTATCTTCACACTTTGTACATAAACATCAAGGAGATCCCACTAAATTACAATTCTTTGGGATTAAAAGGGTGAGTAGGAACTGGAGAGGGGAAGATCTTCATAACAAACTTGCCAAACAAAAAATGAAGTGGGTGTTTAAGTTAAAATCGTTATTCCCCAGAGGTTTGAATGGGGATTTCGAGATTTGTGACTCTTTTTCTGATTTCTATTGTCCTCGCCATTAATCAACTCTATAAGACCTTAAGATTTTTTACCAATTTTGATGGAATTTAACATATATGTATATATTTTTCTCCCTTTTGAGAACAAGAGGATTCTGTATGTACAACTCTCTGTCAATTTCATATTTATATAGCTCCTATATTTGATGTATGCTGGGATAATATGGGGTAGACTTATAGATAGACATTACACTCTGATATTGCTGTCACTTTAAAATAGATGCAGCTTTTTGCACCCTATGATATTTTGCAGGAGCTTTATAGATAAATATCACACTTTGACATGGCTGTCACTTCAAATAGACACGCATACATCACCTTTTTTTTTGACTACCACATTATTAACACTAATAGTGAAAAATGCAATATATATTAGTACTTTATGTAGTTTTTTACCCTGGCTGATTTGGATGGAGATCCTTTTTGCTCTTTAAATTTGCATCAGACTCAGCTTCAGATATATAAAGCTTAAGCAATTGCTGACACATTACGGTAATGTATCTATTTTTATTTCCTTCTATTTTTACATTTATTCCTATCTAGCCTTGTAATTGGGTAGGATTTAGATAGAAAGTTTATACTCTCTATATGTATTTTTGCATTTTCATAAAGCTATATAGTGGAAGAATAGCTACAATCACATTAAGGTGTGCTTTCTCTGTACTTTATATTTATTTTTTAAATGTTTTTATATAACTGTGGCTGTGTATATGTACTTTTTTATAGTACAATACTGTATAATATGTATTAGCAGCTTTTTGGTACTTTTTTACGGTATCTGTGTGTAACAAGAGGATGGACACTAGCCCCAACACACCCCCCCCCCCCACAGAGGAGAAACTGAATAAATCCCTTATGACGAAACCACGACCCGGACCAATGAAAAAACAGCAGGGGAGGAGTTGCGAACTTAAAAAAAGGTCTAGAAATCCAGGATGCCGTCGGAAGAAGCCCAGGAAGGTGGGCAAAACGTGTCACGCAGGTGTGATCGGGATGTACGAAACTTGGCATTAACTGTTATCGAGTGGTTACAGCCGTTGTTCATTTATGTACACACGCTTTTATAACCGTCTGACTACAGAGAACACACCATACAGATCTTATCTACACAGTGTGGGATTTTCCCCTCTCAAGTGGAGCCTCGCAAACCCAGAGCCAGGGGTGATAGGGCTCTGGTACATGTAAATTATTTCTCTTATTCCCCGTTGCAAATTACATCATTCATAGTCTGCACTAAATTATTTTTAGTTTATTTGCAGATTTGTTATCAGTTTTAGCGCTTTTTTTTTTTGTGATAATATCTAATTCTGAAAGATATCCAAAGAATAGGCGCTCACTATTAAATAGAATGGCTGCAGTACACCAACAAGGAATTCCCCCACCCTTGCAAAATTTAAGACAAACAAACAAAAAAAGAACAGCACTCAAGTAACAGTTTACATAAGTGGAAAAGGAGAGTAACCTTTGATGAATGTACCTTAGAAAAGAAAAAAAAAGGAACAAATAAAAGTGCAATACAATTAAAAAAATAGTACAAATTGTGATAAAAAGTGCCAATAGAACACCCACACTTTATAGAGCTCTAAGGATATAGTGATGAGGATCAAAGAGATAACCTAGAGCAAGAACCTGCTCTAGTGTTTGGAGGTTTAAGTGTAATAATTCCCACATGATGATATATAAGGAACCAGACCAAGAGCAGGAATTGGAAGCAAAGTAAGTACTCCAAGGACTGGATATTAGTAATAGTTTAATATGAAATACTTTATTTGTTTAAAACAAAATATAAATAAAACTAATATATAAATTAAAAAACACAGTATATTGATAGTACCAGTCCTCACTTGCCTTTTTTAAGATACATTCATCAAAAGTTCCTCTCCTTTTCCACGTAAACAAGTAAACTGTTACTTTAGCGCTGTTCATCTTTTTTTTTTTGCTTAAAGTAATTCTGGTGTTGCATGTCCATAATCTGGCTATATTTGTGTTTCAGAACGGAAGGGACCCCCGAAACATTGCACAGAGGTTGTATGAGTCAGTATGTATTCTTCCTTACTTTGATAACGTCTATTGTCTTTCTGGCCATCACGCTATCAGGACCAAGCCTCATATGGAATAAATGTAAAGTGAAAATATGGGTCACAGCGGAGCAGCTGTGTTTATAAATTCCATGTGTGTCTTAATCTGGAAAAGGGAATGTATGATGTGTATGATATTATGTGTATGATATGTTTCTATATATGACAAGGATAAAATATTGTAAGTGTGCACCTTTTTATACCCGACCTTGGAAGGGGTTGTCTTTCCAAGAGATCATTCCCATTATGACATTTGATAGAAAATCCTGAGCCTCTTAATGACAGACAGGGAATTCTGAGGTTTATTAAAATTCTGTGCCTCTTTGATGTGTAAAGGAACTAGAACATAATGCTTCTTGCCCGCACGCTGAACCAACTTGACCACTTGTTTGAATGATGCATACGACACTGAGCATAAGGCCTTGTCAATATCATCATTCACCGAAGCTCCATGTGGATATGATAAATGATGAATAAGCCTGTACTTACTGGGCTCTTTTTTCGGCACCACCCCCAACGGTGAAACTCACAAATCGCCCAATGGGTGCTCAATGAACGGCCCCACCATCCTCCCTAACTGCACCTCCTTAAATAGCTTCTCCTGCACCACCTCCGGGAAGTTCCCCATGGACTTTAGATTCTGTAGATTACAAACCCATCCTGATGCCGAAACAAAATCACAAAACCCCTGTGAACCTGTCCCTTAACAACACAGCATCCTCCTAGTTATCGTAGCTGGTTAGCCACGGCAACATTGCGCCGACGTTCCCTGGAGATCGCCCCAGCGGCAACGGGTGCCCCCGAACCACCTGTCATTCCTTCCGTGGACGAGGACCCATGCGTAACCATGCGAGCCTCCACACCCGGAGCACTCGTATTTGAATTGGCATGCCTCTTACGTTGCCTCTCATTATACGTGCAGCAGAACCCTTTTTTGTGGATGGCTGATGAAGTGGAGGAAGATCCTGCACTGGCCCAGGGCTGAAAGGGGCCTTCTGTGCCATCATAAGCTTCATCCACAGGGCAGGTCCATCTGGTGCCACCTCATGCCTGGTTAAGCTGAAAACCTCTGCCGAAACGGTTCGTCGTACCGCCAGCATGCCAAGCTTCTGTATGTGCGGTACGCATCCCAAATCCCATCCAAGTAGCAGAACAGTTGTGAGCATCACTCAGGGGATTTCTCCCCCACAACACTCGCCAGAATTCAGAAAGCCCACAACCAATTTCCAAAAGTTTTGGATATTTTCCGATAACGCCGCCTTTTCTCTACTACCTCCTTCTTGGCATCTTTCTTATCCTCTTCCTTCATGTCCAGAGGAAGAAGAGAAAAGATCTCCAGAAATTCCCCTTTCCATATCCTCTCCTTCACTTCTGGCTTAGGGTGACACCCCAACAGCCCTGTGAAGGACTAGCTGCGTCTGGGATACCCCCAACCAGTTCCACCCTCTCCATCCCTAAATCACCTGCGACCATTGTGAATGGAATCCCCATGTCCCCAGCAGAACTGCTACTCACCTCCAGAACCACAACTGCCACCGCCCCTGTACTCTCCTACCTAGGTGCCCAAACCTGCCCAAAGCTAACGCTGCCCCTCGAACCCCTGCTCCATGTGTCCATAAATGACTTGAGACCCTCTAAAAGGTCCCCAGAAGTTTTAGCAGCAGACAACTCTTACCGCTAAAGGCCGTGTCAAGCCTGACGTTGTCCAAGCCCGGGCACGATGGCACCTCCAGCCGTAGATCCACATCCGGAGGTCTCACGGTCAGTAGTCGTAACGTGGGATCCCAAATTACATCCCGGCTAGCCACCCTGGGGGACCCCCACCGTAGTTTCCAGCTTGATCACTATGGCCACTCCAGGATCTATAGTGTGACCCCTGTCACCCAGCACCCCCGGGGGTCCTGACGTGATATATCTGAGTGCGGCGCTCCATGCCCGTCATACCACCAGCATGATGGGGATCTAATGGGTGTGGGAGCCTGCCTACCCATAGCCCAACTCAGGTCCCCCTCCCTGGGCTCTCTCCTTGGGCCGCCTCTACCCACGCTAGGCGATCTGGATGCCGACCTGCGAGGTGACCCCATGGACAAACTCCACTCCAGTGACCTACTAGGAGAAGCCCGTTGATGCCCACTGGCCGTAGGGGACCATGCTGTTGCCTGGGTGCCACCCACCTGCTAACCTGTGACTTGCGACCCATCTTTATGGAGAATGACTCACCCAGCGTGTCACCAGCCGGAATCACCTCTCCATCACGATCGACAGCACTCCCAGCACCTCCATTGCCTGCTGCAGAGCCTGCCGTGGCTGTCCTTTCTCTTCTCCTGCCAGCCGTTCGTGGCGATTCCTGCTTCTCCCCGCGAATGCAGCCTAAACCCTGGGGTCCTGTTCATGGCCCAAACTGTCCTCCAGCTCGTGGCCCAAATGTGCGGCAGATTTCAACCTTCCTGCTTACAGCCTGAACTGACTTTGCGGCCTGAACATTCGCTAGTTCCTTTATGTGCCTGTTCGCGGCCCGAATGTACGCCAACCTCCCTGTTCGCCTGTTTGCGGCCTGAACGTTTGCCACCTCTAGCCGATACCTGTTCGCAGTCTGAACACGCCTCTCCTTTGCAGCCCGAACGTGCAGCCTCAGCCTCGTTCCCAGGGGTACGCACAGACCGTGCGGCAGCATGGCGACCCTGGCTATGACCTCCCAAACTCCCACTGCTCAAAGCAGCCTCCGGCCTCGGATCCAGGGATAGGCTCACCCTCTACCTCCCGGTGGAACCAGCGCTGGGGCTCAATCGTTGCGGTGGTCGAGTTCTCCTTGTGGGGCCACCAGGGAGCACAATAGCTGTTGCTGTGGACCCAGAAAAAGAAGGCCCAGATGGGACCAGGGCCTCTCCCAAACCCTCCTGGAGCCAGGAAACACCTCTTTGCTGTACAGCAGCATGGACACCAGCCAGCCAGTCCTTGATTCTTCAAACTGCAGCACCTGCAAGATACAAGACAGCGACACCACACAGCCTGCACAAAACAGGTAAGTGAGGATTAATTAAGATGGCCACTGATCTAAAATGGCCACTATATATACCCCTCTAACCCAAAACCCCACCTCCTGATATTCTAGCCAGCTGCTCCATAGGTACAAATTGAAATGCTTTAAAGCTATAGAACACAAGTATGATTGTATGCTGTTACCTATGGAGGTCCTATGATGTTATACCAGTAGCTGAATGGATAACAAACACTTGGGTGTGAGCTCAACAGTCATTTATGTTCTCTGGCTTCAGGTGGAAGCTACATAGAATTTAGAAATCATTACCACAACACCAAAGCATCATACAATGATGCTGAAAAGATAGAGAGGACTTGCATAATATTTAGTATATGTTTTGTTCAAAGTGTAGTGTATATCATCATTTTTTATGCCAGTAGGTTGCCCGGCGTCAATATCGAGAATAGGATTCCTAGAACAATATATTGTGTCTATATTGATGACTTAAGGGTTGCATAAGTCAATTATCATGTGACTGCTCAAGGAATCCTTTGTTGTTACATTGACGCTGGATAGGGGTCCCTGTGGAAATACTTATGCAGAAATGGTGCACAGTTTTATTTTAAAGTAAAGAATTATGCCAGCTAGGGGTTGGTATCCTTAGAGTCTCTCACTCCTGTCAACTTTTATAAACAGTATAATTTTATAAACTATATTCATCATGTAAGTTTTGCCTACATATTTCTCCCTCCCGTCCAACTTTCAAAGAAACCATTTAATTAGTTTATCAATGATGTTTGGTTCCTTCTTATTTTTAATTTATTTGCATGAAGCTCCATATTATCAATGATCAGGCAAATATATGTAAGTCTGCTGTTCAATTTTCTTTGGTAAATGTAAAATTATGCTATAACTTTGTAAAATGTATCAAAACTTTCCATAATAAAAAAAGTTTAATAATTAATTCAAATTGTATGTTCTTCAAGAGTTTTAGATACATAAACAGGCGTAAGAGACTTATGTTGACTGCATTACTATAGTATCCATCTGTAGTTGCTATAGAAACATCATTTTCAATTCTGAGAACCATAAGAGTGAAAAAGAAACGGCTAATGCTCATTATTATTTTGAAGGTTGTTGTATATAATACATTTTCTTTATTATGTAAAAATGGAATGCCAAGACCAATAAGTCATTATTATACAGTAAATTGTTATTAAATCTCACATGTACAAAGATCTAAACACATATAGCACAGGCATTATAAAATATGTCAGCAAGAGAAGGAATACTGAAAAATTAACATTAAGAAAACAATACACAAGTCTGGCTCTAGTTTCAGAACACATTTTTTAAATAGACAAGCTCTACACAGTCATAGAAACAGGAAGTATATCACTACAGGTTTGTTTATCGTGTGTCTGCATAAGTGTACTAATGCAGGATGCTTTGCTTATAGAAGTTCAGCACACTCAAGTGCAGCAGTGGCAAAGCTGTTATCTATAGAGATAAAGTTTTTTTGTAATGCGGAAATTTGTTTTTTGCGTGCTTTGCGTTGTAACATTAACATTTACATTATATTCAGTTTGTGTGAAACTTTGCTGATAAAGATACCTGTTATTTGCAATGCAGATGCCCCACAATTTCACAGGTAAAGAAATTAAAGGGACCCACCAGAACCCTAAAGCAGTTCATAAATTGGAACTTTAATTGTTTACACCCGACAGATCAGTCTTCCCGAAGTCGACTTAGAAGGCTGCGAAGCCTTAGGTGGCCACCTAAATCACCCAATTAGAGCGCCGCCTCACTATATATATATGCAGCAGAGGCGGCCCGAGCCCCTAACTGTTAAAGTGCCGTCTGGGGCCAGGGCACCATAAACTGTCCCCAAGTTCTCCCATGTATACAAGCTAGCTGTTACTTTTTAAAAAAAAAAAATACAATTATATTTTTATTATGATTTTACATAGATTAAACATGTATATTTAACAGCATTTTTCAAGTTACTTTATACCAATGTAGCAAATTAAATTATTCCATTACATTTCCATCCAAATCCAATCTTAGATAAATGGTCATTAGGTAAACATATCTGGGGAATTAATATAGTCTTGAATTATATTTTCAGAATACTGCTGTCAAAAGGGTATACATTACACAATAAATAACACAAATAAAATGTGAGAACAGGGAGAGCAGACAACTTCAGTATCGCTTCTTTAATAATATTAGATCATCATAGAACCACCTTAGGGATAAGATTGTCAGTATATTACCAAGTAAATATATTTATGCCAGGGTTTTATTTATTTGGAGAAACCAATCCTATTATTTATAGTAATCAAACCAGTTTGCCCATATCATGTTATGGGGATCAATATTGTTGTCTTTAAAGTAAACAGCCTTTTCCATTAAACTTTGATATTGGATTTGGGCTTTTTATATCTATTAAGGTGGAGGTTCATTTTTTCTCCAGTTCCTAGCAATACATAATCTGACAGCCATTAAAACATGGATGGTTAAATATAAAGATGGTTTAGCCATTTCTGGCATATCTAGGTGAAATAAGAATCTTTCTAAGGTCAAAGTGATATTTAATTTTAAATCAGTAAGACGATTAGATACTCCCAGTTTAAGAATATCCAAGCCAACGCAATCCCACCAAAAATGTTTAAGTGAACCAAGTTCTCTATTACATCTCCAGCAGAAATTGGAGGAATTTATTTGAAATTTACATAGTTTAATGGGGACCATATACCATCTGTGAATGAGCTTAAGTAAAGTTTCTTGTATAGTTAAGCAGTGAATCGTTTTCCTTATTAACTCAAATGAATTTAACCAGGCTTGACAGGAGAAGGACTTATCCAGATCGATTTCCCGATTAATAACAGTATTTGATTTAACTTCTTGATTAAGTGTATCCAAGACCCTTCTAGTTTTTGAAGGTTTATTATTATCCTCCCCAAAGAGAATCTTATCAAAGGGTGAGTCCCTAATTATAGGTGTTTTATGAAGGAAATCTATTATTCTTAGATAAGTAAAATATTCTTTATTCCATAGACCTGATCTTTCCTGTAGGTATGAAAATTTACTAATACCAGAAATACCATATGTCTTGAATTTTTTACCAAATCTATTTCTAACCAACCAGACAGATTAAGATCCTGGACAAAAAGTTTCAAGACTTCTAAAGGAGCGTTTATAGAGATTTGATTTTGGGAGAAGAAATATTTCTTTATCGGCTCTGTAAATTGGAAAACGTGAGAAATAAGTAAGTTGTCGATACTCAAGTTTTTGAACAGTTTCTTATCTGCCCCCCAAAAACCAAAGGGGTCAAATGTACCACATCATTTTTTTTCATATGTATACCATGCTTTCATTGTTGAATTCCTGTTTCCCCATTCCAAAAAATGGGAAAACATCACTGTATCATGAGTATAAAATATATTCGGGAAAGATAATCGGGAGAGATAATCCTCCTTCTGCTAATCTGGTCGACATAACTTTAAACGTAATCCGTGGTTTCTTACCGCCCCAAACATATGATACAAATAAGCAATGGAATAAATGTAATGTCTTCTTTGGAACTCTAAGGGTAATTGTGCAAAAAAGATATTCCAATTTCGGAAGTAAATATGCTCTAATAATATTTATTCTTCCCAGCCATGATATTTGTAGTTTGGACCATATATTTTTGGCACGGGAGAAGAGTACAGGGACATTGCCAAATCTTTGAATAACCCCTCAATCCCAAAAGCGGAAATGGTAGCCGATAAGAAATTCCAATTTACGCCTTTTTGGCGTCGACAGCTATAAAAACTGTAGGAACTGATTTTTAAAATCAACTTTATCATTAAATTCAGAATCTTACGAATATTATCACTCGCTGATCTTGCTCTTAAAAATCCAGATTGGACCAAATGAATTAGGTATGAAATTATCTAAGTCTGTCTGCTAAAACTTTTGAAAATATTTTTATATCTAGATTTATGAGGGAAATCGGACAGTAGTTGGTTATAAAATGTAAATCCTTTCCGGGTTTTGGGATTGGGGAGATCGTGGTGCTTAACATTTCAGAGGAAAAGCATTTAGAATTTATTTTATCTGAGAATAATTTTAAAAGTAGAGGAGTTACCACAGTCTCAAAGGATTTATAAAAGTAGGCTGTAAATCTGTCTGGACTGGGTGCCTTCCCATTGCCAAGCTTAATAGTTGCTCTTTTAATTTCTACAGATTCAATAGGTTTATTTAAGTTTTCAAGTTTTTCAGGTTTTATTTTAGGAAGATTAAGTTTTAAAAGGAAAGCCTTTAGTTCGCTATGGGAGAATTTATTTTCCTTCAGATTATATAACAAGGTATAATATTTTGCAAAGGCATCGCCTATATTATGGGGGGTAAGGCAAATTTTATCAATGATCTTTTTGATTGCATGTTTTATTCAATCTGGTTTAAGTTTTTTTTACATAGGCTTTCCTACTCTTTTGTTACTACTATACCATCTTTTGTTCAAGGATGTAATTGATTTTTTAATTTTGTCTTTTAAAATTATTTTAATTTGAAGTTGAACTGATTTAATTTGTGTTACGGTGAGCATATTTGGATTTTCTTTATTACTGTGTTCAAGTTTAGACAGCTGTATGTAAAGTTCCGCTAAATTTGCTCCTCTGGTTTTTCTGTTTTTTGCCCCAACTTGG